ATTAACATTTCTCTATCTGGAGAATGGGGCTGTTTTCTCAATTCAGAGGGCCCCCTGCCTGTCTTTGTCTAGGGCCCCACATTTTCTAAATCCGTCCCTGTTTGGAGGTTTCAGTGTTTGGATGCAGAGAGATGAAAAATGCAGTTACTGAAGGTAAAGGTTAATCTGAAAGGAGCAAAGACTGAAACGTACTTCTGTGTCAGAGCGATCTAGAAAACAAATAATTCTCAGCTTTACTTTGTTTAATTAAAGTCAAATAAAAAAGCTGTTTGTCCCCCATCCCTCCCTTCCTTCTTTAATTACTTAGCGATGTCGAATGGCACCATATTCAAAGATTACATAAAGGATCTGTAAGATGTGGTTTTATAAACTTTGAAATTATTTTCAGCTTTACAGAAAGTTGCATCAGATGTTTTGTTTAATTAAAGTTATATATATATAAAAGAAAAGCTGTTTGTCTTTACATTGGGGATGTCAGTCCCTCCCTCTCTCTCACTCTCTCATTCACTGATGACATAGAATATAAATAAGGCTTCAATAGGTAAGTTGCACATGCAGGTTTTTCCTAGTATTTACATGAAGAGTTTACTTTATGAGCGGAAAAAAGAAAAGAAAGATGAGGTTATAAGCCATCTAATTGGAGGTAATGATAAAATTCATTTGAAAAATAAGATAATAATAAATAATACTGATAGTAGCCAATCTCTAAATGCTTTGAAAGTAAAAAATTAAACGCAGAAAATAAATCAAGTTTATATAAAAAATAAAAAATGACACATGAGAAAGGTGTCTTTGTCTGTTGATCCCCCCCCCATGTCAAAAACAAAACGAGTTTTTTGTTGAATTGATTAGGAAAAAAAACAAACCCTGTTTTTAGTAGCAAGAGATGCTGTTCTTTCTTTGAAATCAGCTTAGTGAAATATGACTGTTTAACATAAATCTGAACCAGTTCGGTTCTTTTGCAATAAACACTAAAGAAGTTACTTTAAAGGTATAGAGGATGATTTTTTATTTCCAGGTGGATCATCTCAATAATCTCCTAACTGTCAATCATTCTGGTGATTTGTTTACGTAAGGCCGTCCTACGTGCTCGTCCCATTAGCTATCTTTTTATGCACACTTTCAGACGTATATCTGTGGTGAGCTACGGTTTCACACAGTCATTATAGCTCATCTCGTAAAGCATTATGGGATTTATTTACAGGGTGCAAATGCATTATTTTTTATTTTTTTTGGAGAGAGCAGTTATTTTAAAAAAATTGCAAAAATCCTTCACTATACAGTTAAGGTTAACTATGAAAATAGACCATGAAAACATACCTAAAGAATCATTACACCACCCTTGTTTTTTGGTTTGTTGTGTACTGGTGCATTTATTTTACTTTAGTTACTTGAGTAACTTTTTAAAATATATAGATTAAGGGTTCAACTTTTTCATTTTACTAAAGTACTGCTCTTGTTAAAGTATCGTGACTCTGATTTGAGTTAAATTTCTCGCTACTCTACCCACCGTCAGTGACTTTAGCTATTTGGAGATCAGTTAAAAAATGCCGTAAATGGTAAATAATAATGAAACTTTGTTAATCTAACATTAGGGAAATTAGACTTAGATTTATTTTGTCATTTCTATATAAAAAGAAATTTCGTTTAAAACAGCTCTAGACAATTTCATTTATTACTGTTTTCAAGTGCAGCCTTGAAAACAGTAATAAATACAATTAAAAAGTAATATAAACATATGACTGTGTATTTACAGTCCTAACCATATGTTTTTTTCCCTTTCTTTTAAATAAAATAACACATTTTATATAACATTCATCATGTGATGGCGGTGGGGAAGAAGCTGCTGCAGAACCTTCTTTATCCTTTCCTGTCATGTATTCATTACCTACTGTAAGGATTGTTTTTGTGTATTTATGCTAAAAAATTGGATTTAAAAAAAAAAGTCTGATTTTTTTATTTTTGTTCTATCATGTTATTTTTTGTGTTTTCTTTATTTTTTATTAGATACATTAAATAAACAGAATTATCACATAACTATGTCTGATTACATAATTTTAATAATTAAATAAGATATTATGATAAAAAAAAGGTTACTCATTAATTGTTAAAGTAATTTTTAATCTTCCTTCAGTAATTTATTGAACAACTTTCTACTTTTTTGGTCGATTTTATTTTTCATAACCACATACAAGAAATATTTGTCGTGACTGCTCTCTGGTGGACACAGTCTGTAACTGCAATACCTGAATACTTTACTAATAGAAATGGTCTTTTCCCTCAATAATGCAGCAGTGTTTGGTCATAAATAATAACAATAATAATAAATCATTGTATCCACTTTCCAGAAGATGACTGCCAACATATTAATGTGGTTGAATTTCATTTTCTGATTGAAATATCCGCTTTTATTATCGTAATCCAAACCGGAAGTCCTTCACTTTGTCTGTGATGTGATTGGCCGGCTGCCACGCTCTTTAACCACTTCGCCCTCCAATCACACACGACCTTCCCCAGCAACGTCACCGCCTCCTATCTGTGTAATTTAGCCCGAATAGCGGACAGACGCTCAGGATTTAGCGATATCGGCGCTGAACTCTGGCCGATAGGTGCTTCTTCCGTCCTGTGTCAGAGAACCGGGTCGTCCCCGCGGCTCCGCCATGTCTCCTCGGCGGCTCTGAGCGGACCGTGGAAGCGGACAAAGGAGATGCTTCCCCGGAGCGCTGAACCTGTTCCCTCCGGTCCGACACAAAGCCTGTGAAGCAGGCCGTGGTTCTCCTCTCCAGTCTCCTGCGGATGATGCTCAAACATGTCGGGGAATCATTTCAAAGGCCACGAAGTCAGCTGCTGCATCAAATACTTTATTTTTGGCTTCAACATCCTGTTCTGGGTAAGAAACCCCCTTATTGTCATCGCTGTATTGGGGGGGCGGTATTGTCTCCGTTAGATTGGGGGGGTGGGGGGTAGCTGCAGGTGTTTCGGGGGGTGGGGGGTAGCTGCAGGTGTTTCGCTCAGATTGGGGCCCCTGTTAGTTGATGTCCGGACAGAAGCAGCTGTTCCTGCAAACACGCAGCAGCTAATCGGCTTTCAGTGATAATGAGAGCTGAGCGCTGACACAGCTCAACCTGCTCTACCCCACGCCTCCGTGGACAGCACCCCACGGCTGCCAGCTCCACGCAGGGACGCTGCTGGGGTCCTCAAACACTGGGGGGCTGCAGCCCACCCTCCCATCTACTGTTTTTTTCTCTCATTAGAGGCTTAAATTGTTATAAAACTATAAAGAACATGTTGTACCGGCCGCCTAAGATGAGCTTTAAATTACTAACTAACCATTATTTTGCATTTTGATTGATCTGTTGATTATTTTTTCAATAAA